TGTTAAGTTCAGGGGGAGGGGGGCAATAATGCCCTATTCGCCATTATCAGAATCCCTTGAAAAACATTACGATTTTTTTATGTAAAAATATTAAGAATTCAAACATCTGAAATACTAATTATTTTATAGTTAAAGATTGGTGCGTAGAACATACGCTAGATTAAGTCCTAATTAACACCACGCACCTGGGACTCTAGCCGATCTGGAAAAAGTGCATAAGACCCATGGCAAATGCTAGAGTTCAATTCGCAGCATTAGCAGTCAAAGATGTGTTTTGTTTGGTGAAATTGATATATACAATCTCCGCTCATTTTACTTAGTGTAACTTGATTTTTTGATTTTTTTAATATTGATTTCATATGAAAAATAATTGCAATATATAAATAACAATTGAAAATTTTTTTGACCAAATGAAACTATTCAGAAAGAGCTATCTATTGAAAAAAGAAAATTTTCAATTGTCATTTATATGTTTTGTTATTTTTATATAAAATTAATAGCTAAAAAATTGAAAAAATCTAGCTATATATGACAATTAAAGTTGAATGTTTGGTTTAATGGTAAAAAATTTAGTCTAACTATATTATTATTATTATTATTATTATTATTATTACTTTGAATTACACAATTGGAGACGGCACTTTCTCACCCTTTAACTTATTCCACCTATATGTTATGCGATATAAACTCATTAAAATTTCTTACTTTCACTTAAAGGAGATTAACACTAAATTATTTAAATAATTGGTAACATATAGTAATAAATTTATAATTCTGCAATATATATTGTAAAATCAAGGGTTTATCTAACCTATATTCCTATGATACGAGTTAATGGTGTATTTATGACACCTTTTTACCATTAATTTGTATGAAAAACTACAAAATAAAACTTTATTTTCAACATCAATGCCACATAGAACATTTTAATTGAATAGTTAATAAATTAAAGTCAATTTTTATTTTTTTATACAAATTTATGGTAAAAAGGTGTAATAAATGCATCCTTAGGGCAATGATTAAAAAATTCTTAAAATCAATTATTATATATTTTACCATATATTAATAGATGACATGCATGTGCTTTTCCATCTTAGTTCATAAAAAGCCTTCCCTACTGCCAGTAAAGACCCAAAAAGGACAACAAGCTGACATATTTATGTATATTTTTCACCATTTAACGCTTAAGAGCGCATTTGGAATTATGGTTGGGAGTTTTTTCTTGTAATCATACAATATTTTTAAATATGTGTTTGGTAATTTTTTTAAAATTATTTTTTAAAAAATATTGTAGAAAGTTATAGTAGATTTATAGTAATTTTATATATAAAATCATAAACCTTATTTTAAAGTTTTTTTTGCTATGGTTTTTATGAAAAAACCTAATATTTAATATAATTATACAATTATCCATTAAAACCTAATCTTATAAAATTCAATTACATCATAATTTATAATATTTTAATAATTATAGCAAATTTAAAAAACTTAAATTATTAAGAAGTAATAAATATTATATATTTTTTTAATAATTATATATCTTATAATATTTTTAAAATTTTAATTAATAATTAATAAAATCTATCATATTTTATTTATAATATTTTTAAGAAATAAATAATCAAATATTAATATAACTTTCAACCATAGTCACAATTACATGCAATTGTAGTGCTTCACAACAATCCCAAACACACCCCAAATAATTAAAACAAGCATACACACTCAGCTAGCACTCCCAAAAATACATAGCAACTGTTGGTAAAGAAGAATTATATGAGGGTTGGCATGCATTTTATGCGCTTTAATTTTTTATTTTAACATTAATTTTATTCCCATTAGATAAGTAGAATGTCATTTGTAATTGATTTTATATAATTTTTATTTTTTGTGTAGGAAAAGACTTGAATGCTTAGTAATAGACATTTTGAGACTGATTAAGTGATTTTTTTTAAAGTTTAGGGACTATATTGCAAGAAGAAAAGTTGCAATTAGGCCTACATGAATGACGTATATTGAATCAAAGTGCTCATTACGTAGAAGCTGGAGGATTAAATGTGCTATTTTACCATTAAAGAAATTGGATATAAAAATCCCCTCACGGATTGGGTGTCGACACTTTCGTTTTTTGGTTTCGACACCATTCTTACCTTCGTTTTTACATCTCACGTGAAATTGGAAGTGCCAACCACATTTCGGTATTGACACCCAAAGCAGTTTCAGGCTTTCAACAATTTCACTTAAAAGTTCTAATTTTTTACATGAGTTTTACCCTCGTTTTCTAGTCGGGATTTTATAAAACTCTATGTTTTGGGAGTTTTGGCTAGAGATTAAAAGAGAGGCGGCAATAAGAAATATAACATCGAAAAAAGATTAGAGTTTAAGATTTTATATTATTAAATTACATTAATTTTGTTTATTTAACTTTTCAATTATCATTCATATGTAAGATATCAAAAAAACATTAACTAGAAATTATATTTAAAAATAAAAAATTTTATATTTTTATTTTTGTCATAGCATTTAATTAAGGGCTTTAGTCAATTATTCCATAGATGCATTAATTAAGGATGTAATTCATATTTTTTACAATTAATTTATATGAAAAGAATAAATATTGATTTTGATTTAATTAATTAATTAATTAAAATTATATACATATCAATAATATTAAAAGAATTAGGATTTACTTATATAT